GAATGCATTTCAGCTGTGGAGATGAAATCCTGTGTGAGACTGACTTCATCTATGTGCTATTAGCCATGCATGGCCCCCATCTGTGGATAGCTAAATCCACAGATCAGGACCACGTGGAGGCTAAACAGATGTTCCTGCAAACTCAGAGGACCCCCTAGGTTTGCCAAAAAATCTGAAATCAACATTTAAATATATAAGGGGGTTTAGATCCCCCACAAACTACATTTGCATCGTCTGCATGGGCACAGACAACATTCTGACCTGATCACAGTGGAGCCGCACCAGCCCAGCCTGGCAGCAGATGCTGGCAGCTGCACTGGGCCCAGCAGCAGCAGCAGCAGCAGAAGATGCCAGCAGCCACCTAGGTGGAAAATACCAGCAGCTGTGCTGGGCCAAGCCACAGCAGAAAAGGACGCTGGCCGCTGCTCTGTGCCCAGATGCACCAGTGGTCGCTGGCAAACTATGCAGACCCAGCAGAAGAAGCGGAGGACATCAGCCACCACTGCAGGCCCAGGCACGGAGGATGCTGCTGGCAGCCGCTGTGGGCCCAGGTGCAGCAGCGCAGGAATTGCCAGCCTCAGCGATGGGGGGGGGAATATGGGATTTCCCCCATGAGACACCCCCCCCACTGAGCCATAAGCTGTGGGGAATTGGTACTAATGGGAGGAGAGATTTCCCCCCTACAAGTGCCATGGGTCCCCACTTGTGACATTCTAGAATTTCCCAATCCTCAGACATCTTGGAAGAAGCTTTACAAAAGAGCATTTCCACTGCCTACTCAAACCACACATGAACACATGAAGCTGCTTCATACTGAATTAGATCAATGGTCTGTCAAGGTCAATTATTGCCTACTCGGACTGGCAGCTGCTCTCCTGGGTCTTAGGCAGAGGCCTTTCACATCACCTACTACCTGGTCCTTTTAACGGGAGATGCTGGGGATTGAACCTGGGACCTTCTGTATGCAAAGTAGATGTGCTACCACTCACCCAGCACTCTAATCACTATACCACACTGTCCTCAGTGGTTTACAGCAAAATAAGGAACAGGGTACAAACAACACTAAGATATGTGAAGAGATTAATTGCCTTATAGTCCTACGACTATAGCACCACAGCTAGGGTTGCCAAGTCCATCTTCTACCCCCAGCAGGGAACTTTGGGGGCGTTCCTGGAGGGGGCGGGGCATCCCCGACGTGTTGACGTCACGTTGGGGACGTCCGCACCCCCACCCCACCCCGCGCCAGATCTCAGGGGGCGGGGCATCCCCGACGTGTCCCTTTTGAATGCAGGAGCCGGCGTTTCCCCTTTAAGAGCAGCCGCGTTTCCCTTTTAAGAGCACAAAGCTGGCATTTCCCTGCAAGCTTGCGGAGATCAGGCTTGGGAGGAAACACGGATTCCACACACTTAAAGGGAGAGAGATGGGTGGCTGTGGGTGTTGGGGGTGGGGCTTCCCCGGCATCCATCTGGCCGGCGGCGGGTAGAACCCCCCCCAAAAAAACGGGGGACCCCTAGCAAACCGGGGGATTTGGCAACCCTAACCACAGCCTATAACTGTATTAAAGCGAACTGAGAAAGTGGTAGGCAGAGACATCACAGGTTGTGGATGATAAACTAGGACCCAGGCAGAGAACTGAAAATGAACGGAATGCTAAAATGTAGGTGAGTAAAACTTAAAGCACGCCATTGGAAACAACAGTTCCTCTGCACCAACCATTCATTACATCCTTGTTGTCATGAGGCATTTGAAGCCTACAAAGGTCACCACAAGGACAGAAACAATAACTGATAAATTATTATAAAGCAATTAGAGTGTGATCTTGGCTGAATACCTTCCAGGGTGTAAACATGATGTCTTCAGCACAAGGCCAAAGGAATTCTAAACGTATCACCTGAAATAATCCTAAAATATAAACTCAGAATTTTCCCACTTGTTTCATTTCCGGGATGGGGCCCATGGCTCAGCGGCAGAATATCTGCTTTGAATGCAGACGGTTTCAGGTTCGAGCTTCAACATCTCTACTTAACAGATCATGTAGCAGATGATATGAGAAATCTCTGACTCAGACACTAGAGAGCTGCTGCCAATCAGACTAGATAATACTGGCCTGGACAAATCAGTGGTCTGACTTACTATAAAATGTTCCGGTAAGTTGAAAAGGGAGGAGGAGAAGGAGGAGGAAGAAGAAGAGTTGGTTTTTATACCCCTCTTCTCACTACCAGAAGGAGTCTCAAAGCCGCTTACAATCTCCTTCCCTTCCTCTCCCTGCAACAGACACCCTGTGAGGTAGGTGGGGCTGAGAGAGCTCTGAGAGAACAGTGACTGACCCAAGGTCACCCAGCTGGCTGCATGTGGAGGAGTGGGGAATTAGACCTGGTTCTCCCATATTACAGTCCGTGCGCTCCTAACCACTACACCAAACTGGCTCTACACTGACTGAACTCTTTTAAAAAAACAAAACCCTGCTTTTTACGATCCGTATTAAGAGATTGGTACCAAAAGCCCCTCATATTCTGGGATACCCAAGGAACCAACTTTCCCCCATATGAGCCTGTGGCACAAGTTATGACATGCAGACAAGCAAGCCCAACTGGAGGCTGCACCATTCAAGAAAGGGAGCACTGCAAGGCCAAGAGCTGGGGCCTTTTCATGGCAACCTCCACACTGCAGACCCATCTTCCTGAACTGGTTCAGAATGCTTCATCCTTCCAAGCCTTTTGAATGCAAAAGTCTGGCAGATATTTGGTTCATGCCACTGCTGTGATTTGGAGGTACTCGGTTTAACTTTATCAGCCCACACCTTGGCTTACTACAGTGATAGCGCTATTGAATTCTGTGCGCTGTTCTGAGCTTTGGAAGAACAGCACAGGTGCTTCTAGACAAGCAGCTCAAGACTAGAACGGACAGAAACTGAGGTCTGCGAGTGACTCTATAACAGTGGTGGCGAACCTATGGCACGGGTGCAAGAGGTGGCACTCAGAGCCCTCTCTGTGGGCACACGTGCCATCGCCCCAGCCAGGCCCAGACCATCATTAAAGTGTCGAATTCTCTGCCAAATAATTTTAAGTAAATGAAACCATTTGGGATTGCTTCCCTAACTTTGTTTGGATCATCTTAAGTTAATGTATGAGTTGTTTTTTCTAAAGTAAAACCTCAATATTCAGGTTAAATCGCCGTGTTGGTACTTTGCGATAAATCAGTGGGGTTTGGGTCGTAGTTTGGGCACTCGGTCTCTGAAAGGTTCGCCATCACTGCCCTATAAGCATGCATGGTGCCCAGCTAGACCACACCCTGTAAAGAGATGAGGGGGTCTCATTGGCTATTCTGCAGCATGTTTCAGAGGGTGGCTGTGTTGGTCTGCAGAAGAACAGCTAGATTTGAGTCCAGGAGCACCTTGGAAACCAACAAGATTTTCAGGGTGTCAGAGACTATGCAGCAGATTCTGGGCAATATTCAGGATGCAGTCGATCCTAATTTAAAGGTTATCAGTTGAACCAGCAAAAAAAGATTCTAATGAAAGCAATGCATTATTGGTCCACAGTGAATGAGACTCTTTAACCGGACGGGGTGGGGGGGGCTGAAGGATAAAGTCAAGCTCCCAGTTCTGTCTGGACTATTGGGTTTAATGGTATCAGTCTGTGCTGGAATTTATTATACGGCTTTTTTTGTAGAAAAAGACCAGCAGGAACTTATTACCATAATAGGCCACACCCAACAGCAGAAACTCATTAGCATATCAGGACACACCCTGACATCACCGTTCATTAGCATATTAGGCCACACCCTCATGTTACCAGAAGTGTGCTCATCCAGCCACACCCATCTTTTGCTTCTTATTCTGTTTACCTTATTTGTTGTCAAAACCCAGGGCTTTTTTTGTAGCAGGAACTCCTTTGCGTGCTAGGCCACACACCCCTAATGTAGCCAATCCTAATGAGTGTCTGCTGTTGGGTGCGGCCTATTATGCTAATGAGTTCCTGCTGGGCGTGGCCGACTAGGGAGCCAGCTGGAACTCCGTTCCTGTGCGTTCCTGCCCAAAAATAGCCCTGGTGATAATGAAAACAATGTGACTCTGGCTTCTCTGTTATATAATATGGAAGGTTCCATTGAAACAGATGCAAAAATTAGCACAGAGTTGCTCAAATTGGCATAAAGCTCTGGCTGACAGTACTTCTAGACCGTCACCAGCGACACATCTGCGTTGTGTCCAGACACCACAGGGAAGTAAATGCAATGATGCCTACCTATTGGAAATTGGTGTAGCTTGGTGATTGAGGGTATAAGCTACAAGGCTGAAGTCTTACTTTAGTCATGAGCTCACAGGGTACCTTCAAGAAAAGGGCTTATTTTCAGCCTCTGCTTCCACTTGTAACAGAGTAATAATGCTGCAGGCCTACCTTGCAAGGTGGTTGTGTGGATTATCTAAACTGCTCAGGTCCAGAATATCTCCAATATCTTTTTACCCATCTGTTAACTTCCTCCGCTGAGGCCCTGCTCCAGCTTTCTCCTTTTTCAGAGGTGAGGCAGATGGCAAGAAAAAGCAGGGCCTTTTAGTGGTGGTGCCGTCCCAAATATGGAATGTCCTCCCCCTGGCACTAAATTTGATTTTTTCTGAAGTCAGAAGGCTTTTTTTCTTCACTCATACTTTTATGTAACAATAGGCTTTTCTAGGTGGTTCTTGCCACTTAAAATTGTTGTGGATTATACATACTGTTTTAGCATATTTTTATAGTGTTCTTTATAGGGCCCTCTAGGCGATGGATTCTTCATTGGGGCACTTCCTCCTGCCTGGCACCGTGTGCAATCAGTTCTGTTTACCTGAGCCTTTCATGTTTACTCATCTTGGACTGTTTCATATGGGCGGTTATCTGTTGGTTTAGTTGGTTTTGTTTTATGGCTGTGATCTGTCTGCTCAAGCCTTCACACCAATTGAAACTGGTTTAACCGTTATTAAATCAATCCATTATTAAAAGTCCTCTGCTGGTGTACTCTGCTAATTCAGTATTCTGTTTCCACAGACAACCCTGAAGCCCATGGATTGGATGCCATGTGTCTGTTCTGCTAACAGTGGTGCTTTTCCCCCACAGCAAGAAGCCTCCCCTTGTTACGAGAGGTTCATCTCTTGCGAAATAAACTAAAGTCCAGAGTCACCTTAACGAAACCCTTGATAATCACCTCTTGCAGCAGGGAAAAATTCCTTGCCCCGGGGGGAGGGGGGAGTGCCATGATTAGCAGATGGATCGATTACAGTTCTGCAGGGCCTGTAAAACGGAGCTCTTCCACCAGGCCTTCAATTAGGGTGCCACCTTTCTAATATTGAGGTCCTGGCCGCCGGACCGGACGACCACACCAGGAACCGAGCACTGACACCCGAAAGACTGCCCGGGAAGAACAACCAAGAAAAACAGCGAGCCCTGCCACCTGGGTGCCGGTAGGCATCCCCAACCCCTGTAGACATGTGGCCTTAGCTAGGGATAAATTTGGAACTTGTAAGCCGCTCAGAGACCCTTCGGGGTTGGAGCGGGGTAGAAACTGAAGATATAAATAAATAAATAAACAAACAATATTAATACCAACACCAACGTAAGAATCAACAGCCTGGCAAAAACCCAGACCACCGTGTCAGTTGACCACTCGGATGTTGAGAGAATGCCGCCATCACTTAAGATTGTACTAGCACTTTATGATGAGTTTATTTATATGTTGTGGTTTTACTTAAATCTTGTGTTTTGCCATATTTCGCTGTTTTAACATATATTCTGTAAGCCGCCCTGAGCCTGCCTTGGCAGGGAGGGCGGGATACAAATTAAACAAACAAACAAATAAATATATGATGGAAAGGCGGGCTTTTAAGAAAGCCTTGCATGTATGCATGCATCATCATAAAACACATCAACATGATGGTCAGAACTGGATTGCCAACAATCACTGAATAAGCAAAGGATAAAGCACAGCTAAGTGGGTTTGATGTGCCAGGGCTTTTTTTGTAGAAAAAGCCCAGCAGGAACTCATTAGCATAATAAGGCATACCCAACAGCAGAAACCCATTAGCATATTAGGCCACACCCCTAATAGTACAGCTCATTAGCATATTAGGCCATACCCCCATGTTACCAGAAGTGTGCTCATCCAGCCATACCCACCTTTTGCTTCTTATTCTGTTTACCTTGTTTGTTGTCAAAACCCAAGGGTTTTTTTGTAGCAGGAACTCCTTTGCATGTTAGGCCACACACCCCTGATGTAGCCAATTCCAATGAGTGTCTGCTATTGGGTGTGGCCTGTTATGCTAATGAGCTCTTGGTGGGTGTGGCCAACTCAGGGGCCAGCCAGAACTCCATTCCTGTGCATTCTTGCCCAAAAATAGCCCTGGATGTGACCCACAGCCCACCAGAAATAAGAGCCAGCATGGCGTAGTGGTTAAAGTGTCGGACTAAGATCTGGGAGATCCAGGTTCACCTACCCCCTCTGACATGGAAACTCACTGGGTGACCTTGGGCCAGTCTCACTCTCTTACAACTTAACCTACCAAGCAGAGTGGTTGTGGTGCAGATAAAACGGGTTGAATTACACTATAAGCGGCTTTGGGTCCCCACTGAACAAATACCCTGTCTACAAATGAATACATACACAGATCCAAATACATACAGAGCACTACACACATATCAGGGACTCACATCCAAGATGGGGCCGTTGCAGTAGTAGCAGCGCGGAGAGAAGAGGTTATGATAGTCCTTCTCGCAGTAGGGCTGGCTGTCGCGCTCAAAGAAGTTCCGCGACCCGATCTCCTCCTGGCAATGGGTACAGACAAAGTGTTCGGGGTGCCACGTCTTCCCCATCGCTGTAACAACCTGAAGGGGGGGAGGGGGGGAGGAGAGGAAAGAAGAGAGACTTGGCTTCAGCAGATGCTTCACCTCCCAGGTGTGGGCGTCTCACGTGACAACACATCAGGCAGAGCTCAGCACAAATCAGAGAATCTTCTACTAACTCGGGTGGATCCTTGGACTGGGGTAGCATGAAAACTGAATTACCTATCATCTCAGGAGAGGGCAGTCCCTCAGGGGCAGGGCAGAGGTCACTGGAGGGAGCTTACAGCGTACCTGGCCAGTGGATAAATAGAGTACTTCAGTTTCTTCGGCATCGCCAGTCCGTTCATCCATTTGCTTTTAAAAGCCCCCCCAGGTGTAGCTCGAGACTCTCCCGTTAGGGGGGCGGTTCCTTCAGACTCACCTGCCCAGCGATTGGCTTCTTGCACGCTCCGCAGACACCTTTGGCGACTGTGGCTACCCCGAGTTTGTTCAAGTCAGACTGGAGGCTTCCGAGCATGCTGTCCAACTGGCTGCCTGGCTTCGGAGGCGTTGAGGACGGGTAGCTGTTCCCACCTTTCCCTTGGGACATGAACTGCCAGAGAGAGCCAAATCAGAGACTGTAAGATGACAATTCTGCTGAAACCCTTCTCTCCAAAGGAGACCACCGTGCCTTCTTGTGATCTCTTGAAAGTGGAGAACAGAGAGGATAATTCAAGCACGGAATGCAGTGAAGAATTTAAAGAACAAGGCCAGAACGAGAGATTTTGAGAACTCTGTCAGAGCAAGCAGCCCAAACCAGGAAAGTGAATGGTTTCAGTATCTCCAAGAACTATGAACAAGCAAAAGATGTGCCCCTGAGCAGATTAAATAAATAAAAGGTTAAATAAAAGGTTATGTGAGCTAATGGTATGGCTTTAAACATTTCCCAAGAGAATAGATAAGGATAATTTCCAAAACGAATCGCTTTGTAATTAAACAATGTCAATAATGTGCAGGAAAGCCATGTGATATACTTATATACCACTTTTTCCCCATCATGGAATTCAGGACAGTGTACACAGGAGTCTCTCTTCAGGCACTGACCAGGTCGAGACCTGTTCCGCTTCAGCACAGCTGCCGCATCATGTGCCCTCAGTCCATATGCTGGGACAGTGAGTACTATGTCTCCAGCGTGAATCAGAAGTTAATCTGTGACTCAGCTTCAAGTATAATAGGATTTATGCTGTGCACTTTTAAACACTGTCTTTTGGGACAAGAAAATATGCCTCATCTTCTGCCAGCTGTTCCAATGAAGACCGGAGCAGGGAGGGAACCGAGGGAAGAGGACAAGCACGCCACAAGCCCTGCCTCACACATGCACAGACACGTACATATACATATGCACACTGCTATGAGCTTCTATGGCAAAAGCATGAACACATCAAGCAGTCATTTTGCCTTTCGGAGCCTGAGGAAACAAAATGCCTCAATTTGCCTCCTCCTCCTAGGAAAGGCTGTTCTTGTTCAGCATTTAACAATATCGAAAGTCTGCACTTAGGAAACTTTTGAGTACTATGGCCTAGGGAGGAACACTATGGTGTAAATGATGGATAACAGACGCCAGGGAGGCAGGATGGAAGAGAAAGAAACAATTGGAAAGTACCCTACCCTTAACCCAAATCTCCCCCTTCCAGAGGAACCTGAGGGTGCCAATTTCCCCATACCCCTCTGGTTCTACCCATACCCATGTTTTTTCTTCACTGTCAACTGCTCTCAACCGTCTATGCCAGGGGTGTCAAACTCATTTCATATGAGGGCCAGATCTGACATAAATGTCTCTCTGTCAGGCCGGGGCATGTGTGCCATAAAACTTAATGCCACGTACTGGAGATATAAACTGTATAAAGGACAGCAGCTGGTAAGCTCTGAGTTGTTGTATCCTCACTGCAAGGCCCCATGGGCTCTGGGGGGGTGCAGAGGAAACCCCACATAGACAGACTGGAGAGCCAGCGGTGCAGCACTGGGCAGACGCTCCCACACTGCTTGACTGCTAAAGACGAGGTTGTTCTGCCATGCTGAAGCTACAATCGGAGTGGCTCCACCCACTCCTCTCCTCAAGCAGTCTTTTGTTCCCTCCCTTGCACCAGCTGCTCGTGGGTCACATAAGAGCCCTGGATGGGCCAGTTCTGGCCCCCAGGCCGTATGTTTGACACCCCTGGTCAATGCCTTCTAGAGCACATTCAGTCCTCCTCAGGCTATTTTCTTCTTTTTCCTTTGTTTAACTAAAACATTTTTTAATACCTGGGGAGTCCCCAAGTACGTAGAGATAGAGAGACCCCTACACTGTCTGTGGATGGCCTGGTCTTTCGTGATTGACACAAACCATGTAATTTACTGGTGCATATAGTCATGATGATCGTAATAAAAAGGTAAGAAGGTGTACATTCTGTACTAAAGAAATCCACACATACACACCTGAAATTCAGTGCTATTGTAAGTCAAATGCTGCTCCGGAACAGGAGCAACCCATACAATTCTGGTCTTGCTAGTTACAGAGAGTAGTGGCAGTGAAGACTAAGCAGGGTATTTATTCACAGACTTCACAGCCCACCTTTCTGTCCTCATCAGAATGTGATGACGTGGAAGCTCTGCTCTTGGCTGCGGCACAACTTGTTTGCCCGTGTGCACAATATCAGATTCTGAGATTTCATTTGATATCAACCACATACTTTCAATTATGTCTTGGAGCTGGGTGTGGTATAGCGATTAAGAGAATGAGCAAGATCTGGGAAGTCCCTGGTGCAAAGCTTCCTAGCTTGGTCTTCGGCTAGCTCCTCTCTTCCATCCTGTTTCTGCTGGCCGGCTTTTTCTGCCAGTGTTATCAAACAAATCCACCCACCAGGCCATACATACTAAAGAAAAACCTCTAAGGTTAGAAATGGATTTGCACACTAAGAATTCCAAAAGACTGACAACATTCTTTCAAAGCAGGGCCCAACCAAAGTGTTTGGGCCAAAGATGGAAAGTCTAAATGGCTCCATCGCCCCCCTCCGTTAAGTAACATGGAGTACACACAACAGCAAGGTCTCCTGCACAACTTCCTAGAAATAAAAGCAAGCTTTGCACAATGCTCTAATGCAGTTCCCCTACACTACAGGGAGACTTTGGGCCTCATGCATCAGAAATAAACACTTCCTACTCTGTGACCCTTAATGGCATCCAAAATCTGCAGCCCGTGGCATCCCTCTTATCGTGCTTTGGTAAGACTGCCATATGCAATCAAGCCATTTTGGCAGCGAGCTCCTTAACGATAATATACCATATGAACACATGCCGCTTAGTAACAATGCTGGAGACACCAGAAGCGTTGCCATAAGATTTATCCATGCAATGTAGGAAAGACTGGCAAGACACCCCCAACTGGTTTCTCCTCCTGAACAGCCAAATGACTAGAGAGAAGATACAGACTGACCAGGAAAAAACTCACATACAAAAAGCAGCATTATGGGAACAGATAGGTCAATGACCAATCAAAAAAAGCTATCCCCATCTCTTCCAGTGAGTTTCACTGCGGGCTCCAGACGCTTACTGTCAATTCTGCATGGCTGTCCCCTGCACTACCAAATTTACAGCATGTACCCCCAAAGATGGTCGGCCCCATCCATCATATAGTGCCGCCATGGTTTTCATAGCAGCGACCAGCTGGTTTTAATCAATAATTTTTTTATCTGCAAGCAACACATCGCAGCAAGAAAAGATACTTTAAGAAGTGAGTTTAACTGGAAAAATGCTTTTCATGTACTTCATGCAATGCAAAAATTAATACAGAACATAGAAAAACCCCTTTAATTACCCCTAAAGCGTATAAGAAAGCGGCTACATAGGGACTAGGGGAACGACTGTATGGTGCTGAGAAAAGGGGATAAGAACTCAGAAAAATAAACTGCTTTAAAAATTTATAGTTATATTGTCAGTTGAAAGTAAGACTGTTAGAACATATGGATATCTTGAACATTATACTTAAATACTGGTGAAAAAATGTAAAAGAATAACGAGCTAAAAATAACAAGAAAATGGCGACCTATGAGGAAGAGGAAGAATGGGATTTGAATATGTTAGTGGAAGACCTAACCTTTGAACAATTCAAGAGATTCTTGTCAACTACAATTAAAGAAGCTGTTGAAACAGCCTGTAAGTCCTTATTTAAAGAATCTAGGAATGAATTTGTAGATATTGGTGAAAACAAGAGAATCTAGTCTGCATTTGCAAGCTACGGATGAATTACAAGATTATAGCCAGGAGAGGGAGCTACGGGATAAGAGACAAGGGATCACGCAGAATGTAACTCATGAATCAGAGGCACATAGAAAACATCAGCAGAATGACCAAATAAAATCGAAGCAAAAAAAACAACAAGAAAAAAGGACATTCCTTAAAGATTGTTGTACAAAGGAGAAAGAGAAAGAAGGTGACTAAAAACAAAGAGTTAAGAGATGGAGGAAAGAACTCTAAAATCCCCAAAAGAGTGATAAATGCTACATGGAAAAAGGAAAGATCAAGTCTGAAACTAAGAGTCCAAGAATACAAGAGTTTTAGACATCAGAAAGAAATTGGGGAAAAGGAAGAGGAAACAGAAAGATGGGGGAAAAATTTGAAATTATGTTATGATTTGGTGTGTAATATATTTTTTCAACTTTGATAAATGATGGCTTTTGATAAGGGAAAGGACATTGTGAAGAAACTGTACACAGATTTTGTTTGTAATGAAATGTTAAAAGAAGATGCTGGGGTAGGTTAATTTGTTTATTTTTCATGATATGGTTTGGGATCATTGTTTCACTATTTATAGGAGTTATATTGATTTTTAAGACTGAAGATATGATTAAATGAAATACTGGTTTTTATTTGGGTAGTAAATTGTAGTTAAAACAAGGTGTGTATTCCCCTCCCCTGTGTAAATTGGCTTAAGAAAAAGAAATTTTAAAGAGATTGATCTTTAAATTATTTTAAAAAATTAAAAAATAATGAGACAATGAATATCATAGACATAGTTTTGCAGGCTGCCTACAACAAAATAAGCAAAGAGAAAATTTTAGGTACAATCTTTTCTCTATGGTAGATAGGAATTTAACTGTTTGTTTGCTCCCTCATTTAAGAAGTGATCAAAATGGAAAATGTGAAAGAGGGAGTAAGTGATGGTTCGTTTTGTCTCTTGGGTGAGTTGCCATCATTCCTGCAGTATTATGAGTATGGGGAGATATTTGATAATTTAGTAAATAAATTTTGGTAAATTTATAGAGAGGCATGAAGTACGTGATCTGTAAAATCAATGAGATGATAACTTATTAGAGAGATGGAATGAATAATTGATTATTATTTATATGTTAATTTTTTTTCTTTTTTCCAGTCTTTTGCCTTCTGGTTTTCTGGGATGTGAAAACAATGTATGATTTTCTTTGTTATTTCCTTTTGAAAATTAATAAAAAGATTATTTAAAAAAACAGTGGGAGGGCTTCTAATGTCCTGGCCCTACTGGTGGACCTCCTAATGGCACCTGGTATTTCTGGCCACTGTGTGACACAGAGTGTTGGACTGGATGGGCCTTTGCCCTGA